AGGGCACCGCGCGGGCCGCGGCCCCGAGCTGGGAGGGCTCCCGGGGCGCCGAGGCCGCAGGGGCTGCTCGGCCGCTCTGCCAAGGGCGCCTCTGAACGGAGGCCCCAGCAGCCCCGCGAGGGCAGCGCCGCAGCCTGCCTGGGTGCGTGGCTGGAGATGCCTCCGAGCGCCGAGGCGCAGAGCCCRGGGCCTGCAGCGGAGCCCCGGGCTGAGCAGGGCACTGTGTGACAGCTTCCTTGTGCGCGTGTCCACAGCAGCCACCTGCTTTTACAGCAGGGGCCATTCAGCAGGAAGATAACACGGGCCGTAAGGCTCCCAGCGAGCGCTCCCTGCCCAGCCGCGCTCGTGCTCCCCCGCCGGGCACCACGTCGGGGCTGGGCCCTCTATCCCTGTCCCCCAGCCCTCTATCCCTGTCCCCCAGCCCTCTATCCCGCTGCCCGCTCTGCAGTGCTCGGTGTAGGGGAGCTCCCGCCGCCGCCTTGCCCCCGCGCGCAGCAGGGCAGGCCCTGGTGCCACCATGCAGGGCATCCCGCTCCTCCCCAGCTCCCAGGCACTCTGCCCATGCTCGGGGCAGAGTCCATGCTGGCCACTGCCCTTCCGTAGCCTCCTTGGCACCACGTTGTGGCAGCCCGTGCCCTGTGCCGGGCCAGGCGGGCCGCTCCGTGCCGCAGGACAAACAGACACTCGCACACGCGTGGCCAGTACGTCCCACCTTTATTAGGGCTGCGGAGYGGCGGCGCGAGGAGCCGCGCGCGGGAGCCCCGCACGGCCCGCGGGGACGGGCGCCTTGCCATGCACACGGACAGCGAGGACACGAGCACAGCACGCACAAGCACGCCTGCCTGCTCCCRCCAGGCCTCGTCCTCCTCCCGCTGCTCCCAGGGAAGGGGCCGCGCTCCCTGCTTGCCCCAACCCGTGCACCAGGGACACGGTGCAGCCGGGCAGTGCTTCTCAGTGCGAAAAAGCCCGGCCAGCACAYGGGTGTTTGAGGCCAGCAGCTGTTAGGCAGGCGCTGCGGGCAGGGCGCGCTGCCCCAGGGTGGGTAAGCCCGGCTTTAGTGCCCACACGGGCCTCTAGCAGGCCGGGGGAGGCACAGCCTGGGTCTGTCCCTCCCTGTTGTGACCAGGCGCCCGGCCCTGCAGCCTGTCCTGCACCAGCAGCCCCTGCCCCTCGGGCCCGGGTGTCAGAGCACAGGCAGGGCCGCGGCTGCCGGCTTCTCCCGCGACCACGGCTGCTCTAACGGGAGGTAAGAGCAGATCCAGGCTGGGCCCACSAGCACCAGGGCCCCCTCGGCACAGGCCTGCAGCCCCCAGGGATAGCGCAGTCCTTTCCATGGCGGGGCGCCCTGCTGCACCCCACCAGCTGCCGGGCACCTGGGGGGCCCGTGGCCTGAGGCGCTGCAGGGGGCGGTGGGGCTGGAAGGGACCWYTGGAGATCACAGAGTCCCAGCTGTCTGCTCAGAGCAGGGGCACCCACAGCAGCACGCCCAGGACTCGACCAGGTGCCTGTCAGCTCTCCAAGGATGGAAGCTCCACCACCTCTCTGGGCAGCCTGTTCCAACGCTCAGTCACGCTCACAGTAAAAAAGTTCTTCCTTAYGTTCAGGTGGAGCTTGCTGGAGCTTGCTAGAGCCCACTGCCTCTAGTCCTGGCACTATGGGGAAGAGCGGCACTAGGTGGCAATGGTAACAAGGGGTGAAAYGACACTGCAGAAACTCAACTCTGGTGCAACTAGAGGACCCCTCAACCACCGGCTTAGACCCCTGGTGCCGGGGCAGAATGGGGCAGYTTGATAACGTCCACGCGGCAGCTCGCGCGGTGCGGAGCTGGCCCRGCTGCAGGACCTGTGCCCGGCGGGAAGGGGGTGCCCACAGGCCCTGCAAGTGAGCAGCGCCCCTGCAAACCAACGCCAAGCGCACACAGCACAGCACCCAGCGCAACCGAAGGGCAATGCAACGCTTGCTCCTGGAGGGCCTGCTGCACCTGCAGCCCCTGCGGCCCCCGTGGCGAGCGAGCACCGAGGAGGCCCCGCGCACCCGTCCCGGTGCAGAGCGGCTGCCGCAGCAGCGCGTGCCCAGCCCCGGCTCAAAGGGCACAGGGCAACAACCCCGGCAGGGCAGGGCAGGGCAGGGCAGGGGACCTGCGCTCCGGCAGCGCGAGGGGAGGTTCTGCTGCTTGCAGAGGGCATGGCGGGAGCAGGCAGGCCCTGCCAGGGGGAGAGGAGGAGCGCAGGGCAAAGCAGTGCTTGGCAGGGCAGGAATGCACATGCTTGCAGGCTGCCACGGGAAGGGGAGCAAGGGAGGCCCTGTCCCAGGTTATGCTGCACACGCAGGACCCCTGCTCTGCCCTCTGCCACCGGGCTTCAGGGCCCGTCCTCTTGCCCCTCTGAGACATAAAGCACCTGCCTGGGATACTCGGCAGCAGCCGCAGCAAAATCGCAAGCAAAGGGAGGCTCTGGGGAGGGAAGGAAGGAGCGCAGCGCCCTTGGGTGAGACACAAGACACACTGAAGTCCTTGTCGGGGCAGGAGGAAAGCCCCAATACCACAGAAATGGCCACATCAGGAAGACAGACTGAATGTATGAGACGGGTCAGGCATAAGGAAGAGACTTTTATAACACCTGGGGGAAGGGATTCAATCCGACACAGAGCACAAGGCCTTCAGGGTGGGCTCCACTGGGCTGCACGAGCCCCCAGGASAAGCCAGGCTGGAGCACCCCAAGGTCTCTTTGGCATTGCACACGTGCCCTGCTAGCAGCCCACGTCCCACGGGCACCAGGGCGCAAGCGGCCCCAGCTCAGAGATATGGCACAGAGGCTGCCAGACGGGAGAAATGTCAGGGACAAGAGTCTCCCATCTCTGCAGCCCCTTCCTGGYGTGCCAGGGGCCGGGCAGCTGTCACGGGGGCTGGGGACGAGCTGCAGCATCCCCAGCTCCCAGTGAGAGCAAGGCCCGCCGCCTCTGCCTCCCCACTCACACCCGTGGCAGTGGGTCCCGCTCCTCCTCGTCAGGGAGCTGGGCAGTGCGTGTGTGCACGGAGCAGGGGGACTGCCCCGCTGTCAGCTGGCTCCAGACCGAGGGGCACAAGGTTGCTCCTCCCTGGAGGGGCAGCGCAGCACCGGGCACCTCCCCAAGGCTCTGGCAGGGCAGTCACGCCGCCAGCACCACCGCAGGACCAGCCAGCTCCTCTCGCCACCTCTCGACACAGGTGGCCGTGCCCGGGGGTCCCCAGCTCCCTGCCCTCCCTCTGGAGGCAGGTCCCAGCTCAGGGTGCGTGTCTGGAGCTGCTGCCTTCTCGCGCGCCTTCGACGGGCAGCGGCCGCCTCCGAGCGAGTCCACAGCTCCCCGGCGCCATCCCGTCGGCGTCCGCAGGCTCCGGGCGATCCTCCGACACGGACGACACAGAGGTGAACACAGACACACGCATGTACTCACACACGCATCCACCCCGCAAGAGTCAGAGTGGCGTCGACTTGACACACGGCTGCACAAAGCGCCACCGCAAAGCCGCTCGCCTGGCAGGTTTGTCTCTTCGGCAATTGATGGCAGCAAAACGAAGCCCAGGATCACCCTGTCCCCTTGGGACGGGAGAAGAATCAGCCTGACGCCACATCCTGCTGCCCAGGCGGCTCCCAGTCTGCGACCCCGAGATCCCCAGTCTACAAGGCTACACCTGCAAGACGGAGAGGGGACGTGGCACCTCCTGGGACCAGCTGCCAGTGCCCCAACTGCACTCGCGTGGCCCCTCCTGGCCACAGCTCTTGGCCCTACCTTGTGGATCTGTGGTGGCAGCTCATCCTCCGAGCTCTCCTCTGGCACGGGCTCCGGGTGTCTCGCTGGCTGCCCATCTTCAGCCCAGCCTCCGAGTGGGAGGCGGGAGAAGTGTGAGGGGGCTCTGTGCACCGTGCCGGGGTCTGCAGGATGGGGCAGGAGGAATGTCAGCGACACAGTGGGTGCCAGGCTTCAGCGGCAGGCGGGCTGCCCATGCCAGCCTGTGCAGGGCCTCTGCCCAGGGCTCCGATCCCAAGCTCAGGCCTGCACGCCAGCCCCCGTACCCGTGATGCCACCGTATCGCCGCTGGAAGCCGGTCTGCAGCGTGGCCGTCTCCTCGGCGGGCTGCCGCGGCGAGGAGAAGGGGTAGCTGGCGGAGCGAGGGATGGGCACAGMGGCCCCCCGCTGAACCTCCAGCTCCTCGTGGGCGCTCTCGCCGCTCTCATCGCTCTCTCGCCGGTGCCAAGTGTGCCGCTCGGGCTCCAGCTGGGTTTGCTGCTTGTGCAACTGCGGGGCCAAGACGTGAGCTGTGTGGGCAGAGCCCAGACTGCCCCGAGTACCCTCTCCCTGGCAGGGAACACCCTGCTCTCGGTCACCCTTGCCCAGCGCCGCGCGCTGCCCGGGGCCGTGCCCGCTGCTCACCTCGTGCATGTAGAGCGCGTGCAGGCTCATCTCGGTGGACGCGTACTCCGACAGCACCATGCTCTGCAGCTGCCCCTCCCAGGCGCTGCTCCCCGAGCTCACGGTCCTCGCATCAGCACTGCCAGGCGACACAGGGCAGATGTTTGCTGCCTGGCTGGGCCCCTACACCCTGCTCTCACGCCAGGCTTGCAGACACCCGCTCCCGTGATGCAGAGGGATGGGCCCTCTCTGTCCTCTCCCCAGCCACACAAGATGACCAGTTCAGGCATGACGCTGTCCTATCCCAGCACACAGTGTCCCTGTGCCAGGGCACAGAGCCTGCCCTCATCTCCAGAGCAGGTGGCATTCAACAACAGGGCAGGCCCTACTTGGACATGCCCCTCATCCCTGGGAAGGGATGCTCGGAGCAGTCTCTTCCCTGCTGGGAAGATACCACGTTATCTTCAGAAGGCCAGAGCTCCACACAGCCCCTTGGGACCAGCATGAACACCTGGGCCTAGCTCTGCTTGTGAATACGTCCCTTACTGTCACAGAGACAAATGCCACACAGCCCTGGCAGTGGGGCAGCCAGCAGAGCAATGTGGGACTTGCAAGCTCTCCAGCTGCTCCCCTCAAGGCTGCTGCTGGCGGCCAAGGCTGCCATATCCTTACCCAGAGACCGTCATGGCACTGGCACCCCGCGGCTGGGCTCCCTCTCCATCTCGTCCCCCTGCCTGGAAGCTGCTGGGGGGCTGCTGGGCAGACTGGAGCGGGGAGAAGGAACGCAGGGCCGAGGCCACCTCAGAGAGATGGCGGGAGGCCTGTCCCTCGCGGCCCAYGTGAAAGCCCAGAGCTGAGGAGCCTGCTATCACGTTGGCAATCAGGCTGTGAGGCTGCAGAGATGGAAAGGAGAGAGTCACTGTCCTGTGCAGCTTTGCGGTGCATGGCAGCAATACTCCCATACCAGCCGTGCAGAGCTGTGCCACCCCAGCTTCCTCCCACCCCTCTCCCACCTCACAGTGCTCCAGGACACCTTGCTGCCCATCTCTACAATCCCGGAGAGCAGCCGCATCTAGTGCTCTCCATCCTACTGGCATCCCCGGCCACAGCCCAGGCCAGGGGACAGTTTCCCCAGGGGCCGGGTTATCCCAGAGCTTGTTCGCCCCCAGCGAACGCCCCGCGTGCCCTGCGGCCCGGGCACCTCGGACTCGGAGTGCAGGGACTGGATGGAGCTGAAGAGGGCGTTCTCGGGGAGCACGGCGTGCTGCGCCAGCGCCACGCTGCTGTCCCGGTGCACGCGCTCCTTCAGGAGGCCCAGGAAGGCCGTGCTCTCGCGGGGCGGCTGCCACTTGGGGTTGGTGATGGCAAAGTGCATGAGGGACAGCTCCGTCTTGCCGTCCTCCGCCTGCTGGTAAATGGAGGCCTCCGTCTTTCCCGCCGACATCCACTGCGGAACAGGGAGAGGTGGTGAGGGCCAGGATCTGCTGCAAGCCCCTGGCAGGCCTGCAAATCCTGCAGGACCTGTCTGGGCGAAACCCACAACGCCCAGCACAAGCTGGGCCATGCAGAGAGTGGGCTCTAGAGTAAATTCTCTTGTCCTAGTTCAGGCCTGGCAGCCCAGGAAAACGGTAGCTGTAAAGCCCAGTATCCTCCCTCTCCTGCTGCCAAGGAGAAAGAGATGGGGGCTACCACAAGAAAAAACAGAGGGGAAAGTTTTGTTTTRCATTCTCCAGCCCATGGCAGAAGCAGCTGCAGGCAACTAGTAACTGTTCTTCAAAACCTCCTGCCACAGCGAGCCCACCCCTTCCCGGTTCATGGTCATGTCAACAGACAGCCCTTCTGGATGACTCATGGAAATTCCCGGGCACGGGAAACACATTGATCTTCTTTCACTCTGCAGCAGGTTTCATGGAAAACACACTCCCGCCTCCCGCATACTGCCTCGCTCCTGACTAAGAGCAGCCCAGCTTTTCTAATCTGTTCTCAGGGGTCACACATTTTAGGATGTCCAAATATAYTCACTCCTCTCTTCTGAGAGAGCCTGTGAAGACAGGCAAGGATGTGAAATAGTGAGATACGACAGAGCCCAGTGTATAACAAACATATCAAGCTAACAAGTCACAGCCTGGTGACCTGTGCTGGCAATCCTGGAGACTGAGCACAGAGGCAGTCACAGGATTTGGCCGCAGGCTCCCAGGAGCAGCACAGCCTCTCCCATGGGTAAGGGGCCAGGCACATTGGTGTGGAGCCCACAGTGACACCCCGACGCACGCGGGACCTACCGCCGGGTGGCCGTGCTGGCGCACGTCCATCTGGGCAAAGGAGCAGGTGTCACCCACACCCACYACCTCCACGGTGAAGTTGCGAAAGAAGTCCACGATGTCCAAGGACTTGGGTCGCAGGCAGGCGATAAGGATCAGGGGAGTAATGATAGGGCTCAGGAGTTCCTCCAGGATAAAGACCTGGGCACGGAAACAGCGGTTCAGAGTGAGCTTGAGGACACCAGAAACTGCCCCAAAAAGCTGGCCCTAAAGTAAAGTTCTAGCCCCCTTCAACCCCACGTGCCATCTTCCACTCAAGACCGAACCTCTGCTGCTTCCCCCTCAAACCCCCAATCCTGGAGCCGGCGCTCAGTCCTGCCCCACTGACCARCACGGTCATCTCCAGAAAAGCTCTGTCTGCTCGGGAGCTGCCTGGCCCTCYGGCAGCCTCTCCCTGCTGCCGGGAAGAAAGCGAGCTGGTCTCAGTGCCTTGCGAGCCAGGCTCACCGCTTTGTACTGGAAGAGCTGGGCAAACTCGTCCCGCGTCTCGTAGCGGTGGGCATTGCCCTGCCAGTGGTCAGGCATGTAGTGGATGTGCGCCAGGATGACCCGCAGCAGCTGCTCCGGGCAAAACACCAGGTGCTGGTCAGGAATGAAGGATCTGCAGGACAGCACAGGGAAATGTCACAACATCGCGCTTGAGTTTAAGGGAGATCTCCCCCGGGAGGGGAGGGCAGGGTGAACAGCCCATGTCCTCAGCTCCACCTTCACTCCCAAACCCCSCTGCCAGCACAGCCCAGGGCTCCCGCCACACAAGAGCTCCAGCAAAACTCCTCCAGCCATTCCTGAAGTCACCACCACAGTCACTGCACCAAGTTAGCTAGTACCTCCTTCTCCTGCCTGCCCCACTCTGCCCCTCCTCAGCCCTTAGAGCAGGCTCATGTCCCCTTGCAGCCTAAGAGCACATGCACACAGACGGTGTCAGCCTCACTGCCCCCAAAACGCTGCTGGGAGCAGCTGGCTGTGCCCAGCACCGCCCCACCTCACCTGCACACCGTGATGCCCACGCCAAGCAGGGTGACCGTAGTCAGCACGTGCTCCACTGCCAGCACGTCCTCATCGTAGATGGTGAGAGCAATGAGCACGGCCAGGATGGAGCCAGCAAAGAAGGCCACGTTTTTGGCCACGATGGTGAGGAGCGGCGAGATAAAGCAGTTCATGTACTTGGAAGCTGGCTTGTAGCCCTTGCTGAGGCGCGACTGCAGCTCATGGTCCAGCTCGTTGAAGTGCCGGAGGTAACAGCGGCCGTAGAGAGACCAGCAGCGGGCGCCCAGGCTGCCCGGCTCCCGCTTCAGGATCTCCGTGTAGCTGAAGAAAGCGTAGAGGATCTGCCAGATGAGGATGAGGGGGCAGAGGAGGAAGTTGGCGATGCCAATCCAAAGGATGCGAGTGCTGAGCTTCTCAGCCAGCTCCAGGCGGTTCCCAGCTCGCTTGTATTCGGACTTCAGGCTCCACTCGTTCTCGAAGAGCGAACCCGGCCCCCAGAARAAGATGAGCTCGAAGTTATACTTGAGCCCGCGCGTGTAGAAGACAGTGTCTCCCAGGAAGGGCAGGCGGAAGCGGATGGGCAGCAGAGACTTGTTCACCATGGCCACCATGTAGTTCTTGAAGCGCAGGATGCGGTGGTAGATGTCCAGCTCYGTCAGCTCTTTCTTGTGGATGCAGATCTGATGCTCCTTCTGGATCTGCACGATGCGGGCCTGCACCTCCTGCCACGTGTAGTAGGGCAGGTTGGACTGGGAGGGGAAAGCAGCGAGGTTAGAGCCAGGCTGTGTCCAGGGACAGTGTCACGCTGGGCCCTGCACTGACAGGGGTCCCAGCAGCCACTCTTGGGGCTCCAGGGAAGCACACGCAGCACGGGGCACCTTTCCCATCACCTCAGCTTGTGCCTGGCAAACCCCGTGTCTCGCCCCAGTGCCCTTTAGCCTGGACTAGCGTTGATGACCAGTATCCCCCCTCTCACACACAGGCTGTCCTGGAGGCAAAACTGCAGTGCCAGGTTCACGCAAGCTCTCCTTCCCCCAGAATCCATGGAAAACACGGCTAATGCTTGGARGTACAGGGGAGACATGGAGAGGGGAAGGAACTCAACCATTGTCCCACGGGCAGCCTGAGGCAAAGCTGGGAACAAACCCAACTCTTGGCTCGCTCCGTCTTTCTCCATCACCCGGAGCTGCTCCTGAAAAGCGGCACACGCACCCTCTGATGATATCAGGCACAGCAGAAGAGCCTGCACCAGGCTGCAGGTGTAAGCCTCACACCCCACCTCTGACACAGGTCTCCAGTATGCTCTCCATCAACTAAAYAGCTCCATGACTCAGTTTCCTCATCCATAAACAGGGAAGATGACTCTGCTCACCTCGCAGGAGGAAAGAGAACACCCCTGCTTACACCTCGCTTGTGCCTTTGCTGCTGAAAGGCACCACAGAAAAGGCCATCACAGATAAAAATAAACATATTGGGTGGCAGATGGCAGAGGCACATGCCAGCACACACAGTGAAAGGCTGTGCAGAGGGTTAACATGCAACAAATTGGCTGYTGGGAACCTGGAAAAGAGATCAACGTGGTTGCATAACCCTAGGAAAAGCTGGAGCAAAAGGATGAACTCTTGGCAGGAGACTTTTGGAGAAGTTGCCTCCCAGGGAGAAGTAGACGTGAGTGGCTTCTCCCTGTCCAGCAAGGGCTCCTGCTTTCCTCAGCAGCTCTGCRGCTACTCACCATGGGGATTTTGAGGGCATTGATGTAGAAGGAGTGAATTTCCCAGTAGCAGCAAATGTTGTAGATGAATTTGATGAGTCGGTGGATCCAGAACACTCCRGCAACCACCAGGATGCAGATGAGGAAGCTGTTTGCCTGGATTCTGCCAGCAAGAAGGGGCAGAGAGCAGGAGTCAAGCCTCTAGTATCCAAGTATCTAGGGACAGCCCTAAGCATCTGAGAAAGCAGTGGCAGCAGCTAACGCGCCCTGAGCTGCTTCTACCTCGCACTGCAGACGTTCGGAGGCAGGAAGGCATCCGGCAGCGTCACCTTAATGGGCTCACTGGGGTGCTGGCTGTGATTCACTGCTTTGTTGGCGAAAAGAATGTCATAGTCGACGCAGCTGATGAGGAAGGTGGTGAAAGCCACGACGAAGATGAACTGCCTGCAAAGAGAGGGAGCAGCCGTGAGGGAACGGCCACGTCGGCCCCGCACGCCCGGAGCTGCAGGCCGGGATCGCGGCGCCTGGAAAACCTCCTCCCAGCAGCGCACGGATGGGCGGGAAGGGCCGGGAACAGGCCTGGAGTATCCCGCGGCCCCGGCGAGAGGGGAGGCCGCACTCACATGAGCTCGAAGATCTCCCCGATGAGCATGCAGGTGAAGCCGTTCTTCTGGTGCAGGTTGTAGACGTGAGCGCCGCAGTCAAGGAGGGCACACGGGAAGGCTGTTCCCTGCGAGGGGAGACCCCCCATCCCA